ACAATCAAGGAGTAATAGGTGAGAAGTGAAGCTGGGGTGTTGATGGGATTAGGCTGAGTGAATCAATATGTCCTGGGTGACCCATTGTTCTTAAGTCATGCATCTCTCCAGGGCAAGGAAGCTGTTTTTCCCAGCCTAATGCCTGGCTGGCATCCATCTTGGTCCATTTTGGCCCAAGCAGTGCCCTGCACTTCAAATATTGGGGTGATATTAAGAGGACTTCTTCTTATATAGCTATAAACTGCCCCTCTGTGAGAGGAGGGGTCTGACTGCTAATTCCTCCAGGTACCCCAACTCTTCAAGTTCGTTCAGGTCTAAAGTCTACTCAGGTCATTGTTCATCCAGATTACCCCAGATGACTTCCCCATGCACAATCATATCAGGATAGGGAATATAATGTACTTTTCTCATTGCTTTCTATCTCCCCTATCTTTGTCTTGGCTTTATATATTACTTAGTGTATGTGGGAGTTTGTAGTACTTAAATTTATTTTGGGATTACTAATATTTAGTACTTTAATGCTATTCTTTGTGAGTGAATTTTAAAACCTGCTCAACAATAAATGATCTCTGTTTTCCAATATATATGAATTCCAGCCCTTTTCCGAGACAACTTTGTCCCTTTGATTATACAGTCCTTTAGGAGTGTGGGTGCATCACTGCCCTTTTCTGTAACCAGTGTGAAAACTTAAACTTGTAGCTTCTTTCCAGAAAAGATAGCGAGAGGTGCTGGAGAAGAGGTTTTTCCTCTTGCACTTGGCTTTCCAATAGTGAATTTAGACTAAACTGAGGAATGGGTCTTATTCATGTAGATATGTATCTAAAATATATGGGTCTTCCTGACCACACTTGCTAACAGTGCCCGAATAGTGTTCAGGCAGATGGGGAGCATGCCTTTCCAAGACTAGTGCTATGAATGTGTTGAAAAACCACAAAAGAGAGCTATAAAGATTTTTTTTGCTTTGTCCTGTCGAAGAGATTATATTAATAAACTTTGATTCTATTAAGATAGGACTTTTTAATTAATGTCCTTATTTTGTTTCTGTGTTGGATGCACATTGAACCAAAAGATACATCAAGCAGGGAGGAGATGGTGCCACATCTTGTCTGTGAAGATGCTCAGACTCAGCAAGAGAGAGTTGCTGATGTTGCTGTGCAACTCCCTCTTACAGATCAGCATGGTGCATTCATGTTTCCTAGAGGCTGCTGTAGCTGGAAGTTCCTTCAAATCCCTAAATCAGTGAGTTTATTTTACAGAGTTTAGTAGACTTTAATCTGAAATGTCTTCTTCCAACTTTCATCTCAAAGTTTATTGTGTATCCCCACTCCCCAGTAAGTAATTTGAAAAGTATATCTGCATAATTAGGATTATTTTTCATACTCAAACTATTCTTTTATATTGGAAACAGACTTAGCTGCATTTTTAATGTGAGTTCTTTACTTTGCAATAAGCTTGTCAAACCAGCAAAGCCACAGTTCATTCCTACACAAACACAAATTCAAACCCAGCCTTAATGATTGCTAGGGATGGAAACTGGCTTACGAACTAAAGTTCATGATGAATTTTGGCTGGTTTGTGAACTGAAGTTAATGGCAGGTCAACCAGCACAAACAGTCCATGAACTTTCAAGCGGTTCACGGCGGTTAGTGAAGGGATACATTTCCAGATAGACGGTCTTCGCTCAATCAGTTTTTACCAAAATTCAAAGCAACTGGGGGGGGGGGAAATTCTCCAGCCTGTGCTTTTGGTGTGCGTAGCCTACAAGGGGTCCATTCTATACACTTTTGAACCTGTGCCTGACATTGTCCCCAAAAGCACATTCCTAGGGGCATCTTGTTTGGAGGGCCATAACTTGGACCCCCTAAGTCCAATATGCACATGACTTCGTGGACATGTAGAGGAGCATAAGGGAAATGTCTCTTGTGAGTTTGATATTTCTAGCTTAAACAGGGTCTATTCTATACACTCCTGAACCCACACCTGTCATTTCCACAGAAGGCACTTTCCTAAGGTACACCTTCTTTGGGGGGCGGGCATAACTTGGACTCTGTAAATCCAATCCTCACCATACTTGGAGGGCAGGTAAAGGAGAGAAAACCAGAGATTCCCTGTGAGTTTGGTGTTTCTAGCATTTTGGGGGGCTGTTCTACCATGTAACAAACCTCATAAACTGAACCAGTTTGGTGCTAAAAAGTTTGTGATGGTTCGTGGCTCATGAACAAGGCATGCAATGAACCACAAACTGAAACAAACTGCATTTTCCTGGTTTGTGCCTATCCCTAATGATTGCTTCTTATACTCAACTCTACACTTTCCAAGAACAGCATTAGGGCTGGCAACACCTCTGTGGGACAGAGGCTACGATCCAAGTAACAAGCCCTACTGAATAATTTGGGACTTACTTCTAAGCAGACCTGATTAGGTCAGGAGACTATGAATTGCTGAAGAAAATGGGCTTCCAAGATTTGAATTTGGAGTCTGCAAATCTAAACCCCTCAGTCTAGCAAATGTGCTATGTTGGCTCTGAAACAGATGGTCGTGCAAATAGGCAGAATCAACAACTGCCTGCACATGTGCTTTCTCAGACCTTGTGGAATGGCCTGCCGGAGGTCAGGAAATCTCCCACTCTCCTGGCCTTCCTCAAATGATGCAAAACTGTTCATGAGGGTTTTTCTGCACAGGTAATAAGGCTGCACATCACAAAGTGGTTTCACAAACCTACCTGGATAAATGATCAGGACTTGTGGTCTTTTATGCTCTATATAGCATATTGTAAACAGGACCCTATTATGTAATTTCTGTACTGGTGAATATGTCATATTAACACTTACACTATGCTCCTATTCTTTTTGGTGGTTAATACACTAATGCATTAATTACTGAATATCCCATCTTGTTGATTGTTTTTACTCATTATGTGTAATCCGCCTTGAGTCCATGTGAGAAAGGTGGTCTATAAATAACACAAATCTTTAAAAGTTGCAAAACGATCAAAGAAGATGCCTTCCAGATTTGTTGCTACATGCACGTTGCTGATCCTTCATGCTGCTGCTGCTGCTGCTGCTTTGGCTTCCATAGTTTTCAGCACTTGCCCCTTTGGGTGTTCACTCGTTATCTGGTTCCACACAAATTTGCTTTCCTCCTGCTTTATCATCTGTTTGCCTAAGGATGTTCCTTGGAAAATGGGGTTTGACTACTACCACAGGCCCTGACATAAACTTTTATACACCCCTTAGGGGAAATGAGCCAACAGTCAATCCATTTTAGCAGCTTTGCAGACATCATAAGTGTATTTCAAGGCATGTGCTGAGCATGCATTGAGGTAATCACGTGTTGAACTTTGTACATATCCGTTTAGTCCAGGTTCTCAACATACCACACGGACATGTAAATTGGCTCATGCTTCTCAAAGAGTGTGTTTTCTAGTTTTCTGAGTTCCTTGTCAGAATTTTAGCCTCACAGATAGTATCATTTGCTTAGATCCAACCAGTGAGAGGAATAGAACTTTTCCAGTTCCTGCTGCAGCCCACTGGACCCCCCGAAATGCTGCCCCTAGGGGTTAGTGTATCCATCCCAGGACCACCATGGGGTGTGGTATGGGGCAGGAGCAGCCTTAGTGATTCTGAGGCAAAGGTCAAGAATGGGGCCACTTGAGTTCCAGCAGCAGGGGTTTTAGGGCAGCTTGGATGTAGGCAGGGGTCATTTCACAGAAAAAGAGGTGCAGGAGCTCATTAGCATAACTTATTTGCATATGCCATACCCCCTGACATCACCGGAAGTGTGTCAGAAGGCAACACCCATCACTCAGGCTCCACTGGACTGTTTTGGATTGCTAGCTATTGGGGGAGGGGGGAACGTGCAGATCGATCCTCACAGAGGAGGGAGAGCTTGTACCTGAATAAAACTTGGTCTTAAAGGTGCCACTGGACTGTTTTGGACCGGGGAGCCGGGGGGGGGGGCTCTGCAACTTACCTGGCTGCTTCTTGCTCTGACTGAGGGCTGCTGGGAGCCGGGGGTGGGGCTTGTTGCATGTGCCCGCCCCCTGGGCTCTTTACTGCCGGAGCTCCACTCCTGTGCGCTCCTGCAGGAAATTACCCCTGGCTGTAGGGCAGTAAGAGGGCCACTCCACTGCCCAACAGCTGATTGGAGGCTTTATTCAGGCAGGGTGGAAACCAGCTGTAGGATACTGGGGGGGGGGGAGGCTCTGACCACCCTACAGCTAAAGTGCCCTGAAACGTATGCTGCTGTCCTGAGCTTCAGGGCAGCAGCCAGCTGGCTTTATGGGGGTTGCCCCCCCCCTCCGCACAGGGCCCAGGGCAGCTGTCCCGGATGCCTCATAGTTAAGGCCACCTCTGATGTGGGGCCGTAGTGGGAAGGGGTGATTGGTGAAAATCTTTTCCCACACAAGCAGAAGTGTCCTTGCACTGGAGGGAAACAAGGTGTGGATCTAAGCCATAGTTCATATAACTGGGCAGAGGCTGGCTTTCTAAGCGGTGTTTGTTTAGTTTATCCTCCAGCCAGGTTGCTAACATTGAATACACAGTTCCTTATTATAACACTAACACTGATCATTCGTGTGTTCATTAAAGGTTCTCACTTGATTCCAGAGACTGAAGTTGCTGCACCTGTCTTTTTCATGGTTATCTACCCCTGAGAAAAATTAGCACTCACAATTGTGGTTCCTAGTTTTAGAAAACAGGCAGGGTAGTGGTTTGTGTCGTCTTTGCACACAAGTCAAGTCTGTTATTGTTCAGTTCCCGATGTGTGTTTGGGTATAGGGGTAGGGAGGGGTACAACCTGGCACTCCATATTGCAATTCATGTGAAACTTGTGTTCCAGTGCTCATGTGCTGTGCCTGTTGGGTTGCAGTGTTAGGCGTCATGCTCACTTAACCTATTGATGCACAAACTAGTACAGTGAACCTGACTGTGTAAATATTTTGTGATGCAAGCCACAGACCATTTTTAAGCACTGTTAACAAACTTCTCTTTAATCTTGGTATTTCCATTATAGTAGGAATATCTTATTTGTAATCAAATAATGCTGATAAATTTGAAATTTTCTTGCTTTAGTTTTTGAGGTATAATGTCCTTATATATAATCACATACTTTCATCTCTGGTCTGTCATCAGTTTCTGAGAAGTCTGGGGTGGTAGGCATGGACTGATGTCTCTTCTACTTTCAGATGGAAACATTTGACTTAAAAATAGCCTACGTAAAGCTGCAGCTAAGCTCTCCTCATGTCACCGGAGGAAGATATTATGCTAGGTCTCCTTGGTGCAGGTGCAAATTTAAAATGATGATGATTTCTCTGCAGTTGCTGCATTGCCTGCCTGTGGGTGTTTGCGGGCTCGTGGAGCCATCAAAACCCAAACCATCAGGGAGCCTGCCAAGATTCCAGCTGTTACTGCCACAATCACAGCCCAGTAAGGGACCACAGCTCCGTTGTTCTCTGACGGGCTTCCTGAACTCTGCCATCCACTGTTCTTTGATGTGAAAAGAAAAGGGTGTTCCTGGAGCAGAAAGAGATGATTTAGAGAATATTTATGGAAGAAGCATTCAGTCTGCATGCTACTCATTCCATTAGTAATAATACCACCTCCCCCCCACAACATCCCCTGATCTTTTCCCACTGGTACAACTACAAGACTCCCCCATCTTAACGGTTTCAAAAGCCATAATCTTATCTATTCCCTTGAAGTCTGCTGGATGAGCCTCGCTTTTAGCACATTTATTTTAACTCTTCAGCTGGGAGTATGCAACTCTAATACACTGTAGTGAAATGAAACAGTTTCCCCCCAAAGAGAACAAACTGTTTAGGAGCTTAAATCCAAGTAAATAGTCTTTCCTTAAATATTGGCTTTTGTATTTTGCTTGTGCAGCAAGAGAAAGAGCTGCTGTAAATCCTTACAGGGCCAAGGGCTCCACTCCTCACTCTCCTTGCAAATATTTGCAGAACCTCCCATAATTGTCACCCATCAAGGCCCTGCCTCGATTTCTGCTGGGAAACAAAATCCACACCTTCTGTGGCTGGCTAGCTTCCAGAGCCATATGATTCCCATTGGTCTCCCTCTCGGATACTCCTCCTTTATTTTTATTTTTTTACAGTCTGCTTCTCCAGGGCTGTGGTCACACACACTAAATAATCCATTTTCAATCCACTTTCCAACTGGATTTTACTGTGCGAACTGGCAAAATCCAGTTGGAAAGTGGACCGAAAGTGGATTATTTAGTGTATGTGACTACAGCCCAGGTGTCCACACCTGCCCTCACTGGCTCCATCTAGACTGGTGCAATAATGGGTCCCTTTGCACCTCATCTGCGCTTGTCTCTTTGCTCTCTAATTTTATTCAGAAAACCAGAGTGTGTTCATTTATTTCATACAGAACATCATAAAATGACAAATACAGAGAGCTTCCTTTACTGTAGCCTGCTTCCTCACTATTGTCCTCAGTTAGGTTACTACAATTGCAGTGCCCTCCTTAGCTGAGCTGGCCCATCAACTCCACTGGGTGTAAGAATGGCATTTTTGTTTTCCTCATCTGATGCCCTCCTAAATCCCTCCCTATTGAAAATACTGAACCCAATCCCTGCCTGATGGCCTGTTTAATTTAAAAAATATGTTCAAAATCATATTTTGGCAGTGCACTGTTGCTTACTGAGGTTGGACATGTGAGCGTTGACCTTTCATAAGTAAAGTTATTGTAGGACCGCTTCTGTCCAACTGGCTCCAGCTGAGAGAGAGAGAGAGAGAGAGAGAGAGAGACAGAGAGAGAGAGAGAGAGAGAGAGAGAGAGAGAGAGAGAGAGAGAGAGGAGGCTTAGCATTGCAGCTTGCTTCTTATAACTTTCATGCAAAAATACACAATCATGTCACACTTCTAAAAATACATGTCCTTGCTATTACTGAAGTATTTTGTTACTACATTTACAGTGTTATTATAATATTATTTTTATTATTGCATCCTATAACAATGTCTCAGAAAATGTTAGCATCTTTTTTACCAATGTAGCTGAAAAAAGAAATGAAGTATCTCTTCAAAGGTCACCAAAGCAGCAAGAGATCAAGCCCACATCCAATTCCAGTGTAGTTCTGCATTATGTTCCCCTCCACTACGAGTGGTGAGAAGTTCCAGGAACAGTTCTACCTGAGTTTGGTTTTCTTTTGGCGAGAGAGCATTGGAGATACATGGCATCATTGTTATATTAACATATGTACAAGTAGCATTTGGTTGGAGACAAAGAGGAAATTCTATAGGGCAGCAGACCCACTGTCCCATATCTAGCTTCCAGAGACAGAGGGACCCTGCGTCACAAGGTGCTCCCTGTCAGCAATTCACTGCTCTATTTACTTCACCACCCCTGCTCACATAGCTGCCACCACTGTTATACAAATTAATATCCAGTCAAAAATAGAACATTGAAATCAAAACGAGGAGGAAGTTCTTGTATTTTATTGCGATGAAATACGGAAAACAGTTAGGCCAAAGGACCCATCAAAACTGACTGCTTTCTTCTCAGCATATTCAGGAAAAATGCCTCAATTAATAGGAAAACAATTAGGACAAATAGTTAACCAAAAATTGACAACTTTCTTTTTCTTCTTCATCTTCTTCTTGAGCATATTCTGAACATATTCAGGAAATACATGATATTTTATACATGGACTGACATCATCAAGAAAACAATATTCAAACAGCATAAATGGTTACAAAAGACAATGGTAATTTGAGTAATAATCCTCTGATTGGCCAGATATAAAGAAACATATCTACGTCAAACTAAGTGTTTACTTAACCTAACCTAAATGATAACAGGCAAGGATTCTTCATATCAGACTAAAATCTTATCTGACCCAGACATTGAAAGGTTTGCCCTAAGAACTACAGAATCATGAACTTTGTACCTATTATGTTGTCTGCTAACAATATCAGACCTACAAGAGGAAAGCCTTCTATATAACAGGCCTTTCTAACATCCTAATAAAATATTACTTAAAGAACAAATCTATAAAAACCAGAGAAATATGAATATGAACAATCAAGAAGAAAAAAACCTATATATAAAAATCTTTGTATTCCCATTCATACTACACCACCCTTCAGCTAGAGGGGTAGGGTTGTCAACCTCCAGGTGGGGCCTGGAGTTCTCCCAGAATGTGAACAGATTTCCAGACTACAGAGGTCTGTTCCTCTGGGGAAAATGGTTGCTTTGGGGGATGAGAACAAATGTAAACAAAACAGTTATGAGAGTCTGACCCACAGATCAAGCAGTCAACAAGACGTGCAAAGAAAATGCTTTCTGTATATTATGGTCAACAAGCACTACAACACAATAAACAAATTCCTTCAAATTATAAGAAAATCCTAGTGTGAAAATATATCATCAACGTCGTCTCCAGATTATATAACAACGTTTTAAAATTGAATCTTCCTCAGGAAATATTAGAGTAGTACAAAAGCGCTCTTGCTCATAAAGTGCTTTACAAAATATCAGGAAAGAGAATACATTTAGATTGGACGCTGATCTCAATAAGTATTCAGGCTCAAATATGCTGCTAAGCTTCTAATGGATCCTATCTAAATATATTTGAAACATCGTTACATAATCCAGAGATGACATTGATGATGTATTTTCACACTAGGATTTTCTTATGATTTGAAGGAATTTGTTTATTGTGTTGTAGTGCTTGTTGACCATAATATACAGAAAGCATTTTCTTTGCAAGTCTTGTTGACTGCTTGATCTGTGGGTCAGACTCTCACAACTGTTTTCTTTATATTTGTTCTCTGATTAGGTCGTGATTGTCCACATTTGTCTTGCTTTGGAGGATGGACTGTGTGGCATTACAGGCCCACTGAGCTCCCTCCCTCCCACTGTCTCCAGACCTTATACTAGGATTGCCAACCCCCCTTGCCAGGGGTCCCCTGTTTTGGGGGGGTTCTACCCGCTGCCGGCCAGATGACCCACAGCCACCCCTCCCTTTAAGTGTGTGTTTCCTCCCAAGCCTGTGTTTCCTCCCAAGCCCGAAGCTTCATGCATTTAAAAGGGAAACGCAGCTGCTCTTAAAGGGGAAACACTGGCTCCAGCTCTTAAAGGGGAAACACTGGCTCCTGCTCTTAAAGGGGAAACGCTGGCTCCTGCTCTTAAAGGGGAAATGCTGGCTCCTTTAAGTACAGGGAACTGCCGTTTCTGGAGATTCAGCGCGCGGGCTGGTGGGGGGGCGGCAGACGTCCCCAACGTGACATCATCACATCGGGGATGCCCCGCCCCCTCCAGGAACGCCCCCAAAGTCCCCCGCTGGGGGTGAAAGATGGACTTGACAACCCTACCTTATACCCAAATCTTCAGGAATTTCCCAAGCCAGAGTGGACACCTTTGGATAACACCTTCTCCCTGCTCAGATGTGTCCTTGAATGAGAAGGTTAATTTGGGAGGCCACTTCATGCCAATTAGCTCCTACTGTGGAACTAAGATTTTACAATAATCAATAACTGTTAACATTCTTTCTGTCACTGGCCCTGACTTCCCTGAGCTGTGTCACTTTTGGCCAAACCACAGTGATAGACTCCTTCACAGTAATCAGGCAGCAAGCCCATAACCCTGCCATCTAAAGAGAAGAGGAGAGAGAAGAGATTGGATCTATCCCCTGCCCTTCACTACCCAAAGGAGTCTCAGGGTGCGTTCAGACGGCCAGCTAATACCGCAATTGGCCCGGCTCTAATTTGATCCTGATCTTTTTTATCTGGCATTGCACAACCAGACAGCGCCCCTTACCGCATGTGTACTCCGCAGTGGATTGTCTAGACGGCATCCACCTAAAGGAGCAGCGTGGTTGGTTTTTTAAAAAAATCTGTTTGGGCATGCGCATCTGCACCTCAACGTGTACTTGTTTTTCCGCGCATGCATGGAGTTGGATGGTTAAAGCACCGCCAGTGGTACCTCTCTCTAGGTACCTTTTTAATTAATGCAGTTCATAAAATTCACGGGCTGTTTAGAAACATGAAATTTTTCGGAACGTTTGAGTGGAGCTCATTGGCTGTTGCACGTTTACACGCTTATGCGCATATTGCTAAGAATTTTTGAAAATGGCGCCCACTTGGGATGGTCTGACGTCAGACCATGCCGATGGGAGGATTGTGTACTGGAATGATCAGATGGGGGAAAGTCCGCAATTGGCCCATTGGGAAGCGAAAACTCCGGATTTTAACTAGTATCTTTTAAGTATGGCTCTGAAGCGTGGCAAACAGGATGCTCACGGAACAGGCACATTTCCCAGATGTTGCTGTCTGGTCATGACCTTTAAATCCACCAGGCATTTGTGCCTGGCGCAGATCTAAAAACCCGTCTGATCAGGACCTCAGAGCGGTTTACAATCTCCTTTCCCTTCCTCTCCCTACAACAGACACCCTGTGAGGTAGGTGGGGCTGAGAGAGCTCTTTTGAGAACTGCCCTTGAGAGAACAGCTCTGAAAGAACTTGTAACTGACCCAAGGTCACACCAGCAGTTGCATGTGGAAGAGTGGGGAATCAAACCTGGTTCTCCCAGATTAGAGTCCATGCTCCTAAACACTACACCAAACTGGCACTACACCAAAGAGGCTGCCTTGTGTGTTACATGAACAGGGCAGAACAACAGCAAAGTATGCTGCAGGGAGAGAATAAAGCGAATAACCTCAAACATTCTTGAATCTTGAAAGGAAAAGCATGTGCAGGCTGAAGAAAAATTGCACTTGTGCAACCCGAACTTATCCAAGTTTACTTAGGAAAAAAAATCCTTTCATTGCAGTGGGAGTGAATCAGTGTATAGAGACGTGCAGTCTTTATGCTAACTCCCCGGAGGTAGCCCATAATGCAGGAAAGCGCTGGCTGCTTTCCAGAAGGTGATTCAGCACCCCATTTTATTCTCTCTACAAGCCATGAGGCTTGGGAAGTCCCTCCTTCAAAACAGGGTCACAATGTAGATGAGGAATGAAATGAACTATGCCAGCTGGCAATACGGCCATTTTTATCGGCCCTTATTAGGATGCAGTTTCAGCAGCCTGAGTAGAATCCCTGACAGGGAAAAGCCAGGATGCCTTGAAGTGCACACCCAGGCAGGTGGGAAGTGTCTGCCACAGGAACGACAGAATGCCTGCAGGGCATTCAGGGTGCACCTCTGAAGTCAGCAAGCACCCAAATCCAATGTTAATAAATTCCATAACTGCAGACGAAATCCTGCATTTAATTTGGGATTCTGACCATGCACACAGAGCCTACGTGCACTGGTTTTGCAGAGTCAGGTGTGATGCCACTGCATGGCTGTCTGCTCACACTTGAGGATGGGCGAGCACACAGGACCGTGGTCAGGGGGAGCTAAGGCTTACTTCCTCCTCATTCTCTTTCCTTCCTGTGTGTAGGACTGGCGCATTCCTAGTTTCAAACATCTGCCAGTCTTCACTGCTGCATCATCACACCAGCTTGTGAGAAAGGAGCAGAGCTCTTATCTCTATTAAACAGATCAGCAGAAATGTTTTGATTTGCAAATTTACTCGTCTTCTTCCCTTTTATCCCATCATTCCCGTTTTACAGGTCACAAGCTGAGGAACAGCCGCTTGCCCAAAGCCAGTTTAATCAGTTCATTGCTGGGTTAGGAAACTGCATCCAGGTTCTATCACATGATTTTTCTTTAAATACTACTAACCAAGACAGGCCTGCCATGGATTCTACATCTTTTGAGAATAAGATTCCCACATG